GACTGAGCGGCGGGCGGACGCCGTCACCGTGCAGTCTCCTCCAGGGCCCATCGCCAAGTGAGGGTCCAGCTTCGAGGGGGAGGGTGACCACAGCACAGATTGCCACCTGACCGCACCCAGGGGCCTCGGGGCCCAGGGCCCTGGTGTGCAGGCGGGGGCTGGTGACGACCTGCGGATGGGCCGGCCACCCTGCTGGGGTTCCGTTCACCTTCAGGACTGCGGGTTGAGTCACTTGATGGCTGAGATAGCTGTGGGGTCATTCTGACGTCGGAACACAGGCCCCGAGGACCCGCCAGGTGGCCTCGTGCGGCCTGGCCACTTCCTCGACTCAGACCAAGGGGCAGCAGCTCTGGAGGAGTGCGAAGAGTGAGGGCGCCTCAGTGTGGACTCAGCCCCGTTCCTCTGCCGTCGCTACCCGATTCCTCCTGCCAGGGTGGCCAAACTTCGACGCCGAGCGTCCCTCTGTGTCAGGAAGCACGGTGGGGACACGTCCCGATTGTGTTTACCTACCAGCCTGCGGCGGGGCTGATGCCCGGGGACTTGCCAGGACTGGCTGGTCACACAAGAGGATGAAGATTCAGAGTGGCGCTGGGGGCAGTGAGCACAGAGGGTGACCACGCGGTCTCCTCCCGTAGGTAGCTTGTGTGTAACCGCCGCCCAAACACGGGACCCTCCTCGCCCCCGCCCACTCCTGTGCCATCTCTCTGTCCTGCTCCCTTTAGCCTGGGGAGGCCCTGCCCCCCGCAGAAACGCTGAGCTCTGTCCACAGGACGGCTGTGCAGCGCGCCCTCACCACGTGGCTGAGCTGGGCTCCTGCCGCCCTGTGGGGACGGACTTCCCAGGGCTCAGGCTGTGAGCTGCCCCATCTGGCCCTCTGACCCCACCTTGTACTCTGCTCCAGCTGCACTGGCCATCAATTGGTCCCTAGCTCATTCCTATCCCAGGGCCTTTGCACAAGCTGTTCCCTCTGCTTCATACTGCCCGCCCTCAGGGTTTCACCTGGACCCTCCTGTGGTCAGTCCCTGAGCTTGCGGCCCTAGCACCCCGGCTGGGGTCACCGTCGCTGCAGCAATCGCCATCGTCTGAGACTCGCACGCCGTTGCAAGCACAGGGTAGGTTTGGCTCCATGTGGGCCGCAAACCCATGTATTCTGCACCTTCCTGGGGCTTGCAGAGGGGTCTGGAAGGAGCAGACACTCAGCAGACCCCCATGGAGCGGCCCCGTCCGGGGCTCTCACTCACCCTGCGCATTGCTGTGACTCAGTTCCCTCCTGTGCTCTGTCCCAGCCCCACACTGAGCCTTCCCTCCTACAACAGCCACACTCTTGACGAACTCCTATGCATCCTTCATGACCCAATTCAAATGGCCTCCTCAGTGGAGCCTTTCCCAGTGGCTGGGTTATGCTGCCCCTACTGGTCCTGGGGAGGCTCCTCTGTGTCCCTGCAGGATACCAACATGGCCCTCAGCAGGCCTGCAGTCACGGAATCGGAATGGCCGGAGCGTGAGTTCTCCCGCAGGGCGGTGCGCAAGCAACCCGGACTTGCAGACAGCCAGTGCTTTCTTCTCTGAGCCACACATGCCCGGCCTGAGCGGCATGCTGGACGGACGGGCCCTGTGCATGGCAGGGGAGGACAGTTTGGGGAGGGTAAGTCATTCGTGCCTCAAAGCCAGGTGTGTTCCCTTCTGGTTGGTGCTTCCCAGAGACGGTCTGGGATCCGGATTTCGTGTTGGGCTGCTGCCCGGCCGGCTGAGGCAGGCGGACATCCTCCGGCGCACATTTCTCTGGGGCCCGTGTGAGTAGCATGGCCGCGATAAGCTTTCCTGGTGGTTCTGTTGGTGCCTCTGGCTACTGAGAGGTCACCTGGAAATACAGCAACACTGGGGTGTCAGGTACAGGATAAGCCTTGGCTTGCCAGCGGCACCGGGTCCCTCGGGGGTCTCCGTGGGGCTCTTCTGGTGGACAGTGCCTGGCCTTCACTGTCTGCTTTTTCAACCGACATAGGTCAGGCTGTGTCAGCATGTCCTCAGGCAGCAAGGGGATGTCCTTTGGCCCCCGTGTCCTCTTCTGAGATATGGGGTCTCCATTTGGAGGCAGACCTCCAAATCCCATGGCAACAGAGACGCCCCGGCCCCGCCAAGTGCATCCTCAGAAAGAAAGGGGAGAGAAGCCGGCCAGGATCACCCCCACAGCACCACTCCCCACTTGTCCTCCCCACGGCGGCCCCGGGTCCTGGGTGATCTGCACGCACCCTTTCCTGCCCTTCAGAGGACAAGCCTAGTGCACTCTCCCACGGGCCGCACACACCCTGTGCCCTTTCGCGCCCTTGCAGATGTCCCTTGCAGGCGCTTGGGGGACCAGATCCCTGAGCAGGTGGGTCTTGCCGCCCAGAGGCTTGTGGGGTAGTTGCAGCAGAAGTTGTGGGAGTCAGAGTCAGGGACCCTGCGCCCCCGGCCAGCTGCTTGGAGAGACGGGTGGCGGCACAGCCCTGGCTGATGGAGGCCTTAAACACAGGCAGGCCGAGGGTCCTCGGGCGCTCTCCTCATTCTCTGGGCACGGCCACTGCTGGATGCATCCATCCGCATCACTGAGAGAGAAAGCAGGCAAGTGTGGCCTGGGGTGAACAGGTGGTGAAGGGAGCCTTTGGGGCCACTTTGTGGCTTTCTGTGGGTTTTAATGTACTTGAAAACAAGCTATTACAATGGGGCAGTCTGGATGTAGGGCTGAGGGCCGACAGATGGGCTGGGGGGTCTCCCTGGTGTCCATGTCCCCCTGGGCTGTGCCCTGAGAAGGCCCAGTGTCCCCAGTGACCTCCTCAGAAACGGGGGTGTTTCCAGTTCTCTCCACGGACACCTGGCCAGGCCTCATGTGCCTTCTACTGCACGTGCCCGTGGGCCTGGGGCTGCGGACAGGTGTCAGGGCACCGGGCAGGCATCTCGGAGATGGGGCCGGACGGGCAGGGCCGCTGGGTTTATATTCTCCCCTCATGACCGCTTCCCCCTGGGCTTGCCCAGCGGGGGCGACGACCACACCTGCTGCTGTTCCACCCCCGACCTGGGGAAATCCCCCGACGGAGGGGTGGGTCCCAGAGGACCCTGCTGAGGCCATCGTGCAGCTGGGAATGGACCCTTCCAGTCTTGCCAGGGGACTTCCTGGGTGGGCTGCCCCCAGCCATCAGGGGATAGTGCATCTGCCAAACCCACCCCCAACCGGCTTCCAGACTCGGAGCACTGGAACAAGGGTTCAAACCTGAACCAAAACCTCTTAACCAGAGAGCCTGGGGACACGAATCCATCAGGTCAGCCTGACGTCTCCACGTGTACGAGCAGAGCAGGGGACGTGCTCCCGCCCTGAGGCCAGCAGTGGCAGGAGCCGGGGCCTGTCCCCGAGGGCTCGGGGCTGCCGACGCTGCCCAGCACGGTCGGAGTGGCTGCAGCCCTGAGCCCCAGCTTCCGAGCCCGCGCGCCCACCTGCCGTGCCAGCGGAGCATGGAGGGGACGCCCCGCACTGCGGGAGGACGAGCCCCTGCCTGAGCCCCGCACGCAGGATGTGAAGCCGCAGGCTACCACGGACGTGGACGTCCCTGCAGGAGGGGCCCGCGTCGCCTCGGGAACAGGACAACCGAGTGACGTGGACCACAGTGCCCAAGAAAGTGTAGTGGCCAAAAGGACGGGTCCCAAAATGCCAAAAGGGAGTGTGCGCGTGCGCGCGTGTTGAAACGCTCCTGCAGGACATGCACGAGGCGGCTTCCGGGGCCACGTGAGGGGCCCGGGAGCGCGACCCCGCCTGGGGGCCTCCGGCTCTCCACACGGCGCCCCGGGCGCACGGCTCGGGGATGTCGGAAGCCGCGGGCCCCTCACGTGGCCCCGGAAGCCGCGTGTCACCGCGTGTCACCTCTCAGAGGGCGTCACCTCTGCGGGAGCGCGGGTCAGACCCGCAGGGCTGAGCCCCCCCTCACCGCGCCGTGGCCTCGTCTTCCGCGTGTGCAAGTCTCTGCAGCGAGACGGGGACACGGTCTCCTCCTCTCAGGGGCCCTGGGAATTTGCGCTCTTTTGCCGGCGGGCTGCGAACAGACCCCCTTCCTGACGCTCAAGGACGGGCCGTCCCGGGGCCGCCGTGGTGGGCGAGCCCGCTTACCTCCACGGGCCTGTGCTCCCGAGGCCGGCCGGGCGAGTCCCCAGCCCCGACGGTCCGGCTGAGGGGCCCCCGCGCGCGGCTTCCTGCCTTTCCCCCCGGAAAAAAAAAAGCGGCGGGGGCAGCAGGCGTTAGTCCGTGACTCGGAGACCTTCCTCGCCAGCGCCTCCCGGGTCCGTCGCCTGCCAGCCGGTGCCAAGCCTTCGCGCCCTCCTGGGAAGCAAGGGGGTGACCCCTGGAGAGAGCCCGCCACAGCCGGGCGGCCCAGCCAAGCTGCCGAAGCGCCGTGTTAAGCGCGAGACGCCCCGGCTTTTATTCACACCAGACGCTACTTCCGAAAGACCCTGTCGGCCGGAGCAGGCGTGCTCGTTCTCTGCGCTCGCGGGCAGGGACCCGGCCACGGCGAGCGGCTCCGCGTCCTTAGCAGCGAGCACGGTGGAGCCTGCGGTGGCCCAGGCCAGGCCCGGCAGGCCGCGCGACAGCCGCAGACCACACCGAAGGAGATGCGGGGACGCACGAGGACCCTTTATTTCCCGGTTGTCTCAGGCACTCGTGCCAAAGGGGTTGGTTTTTAAGATCTAAGATCTAGTGTGATTAAAAACGCCGGCGGAGGTGAAGCGCGTGCTTCCGGCTGCCGCGCCCGAGGCCAGGAGCAGCGGGGACGTGCGCTTGGTCCGCGCGGCCGTCCTGGTTAGCGTGGTGGGCACCAGTGAGCGAGCAGCGTTAGTGGTGCACACAGTGAAACACCCCGACTGTCCCCGAGGCTGTTTGTGCTGCCGCGCTGGGAGGCTTGGGGCCTCTGGCGTGGGGCCAGTGATGTCCCGGGGCCGTGCGAGGGCAGGACAAACATCCTCGTGGGACGGACGGTGCATTTCATGCGGCAGGTGGGGTTCTGACATTGGGGAGGGGAGGGTTAGATGCGATTCTGGCCGGGGAGGCGTGGCGCACACCAGGAGGGCCGTGGGCCCCAGACAGCGGCGGGAGGCTTTACTTCTCCTCTGTGGACAGGCGGTACAGGGCCTCGCCCAGGCGTGCCAGCTCCTCCCTGTGCTCCAGGTCCTGGTATAGGCCCGCGGGAACCGCGTCCAGGCCATGCAGCAGCCCGAACAGGCAGCCCGCAATGGTCCCCGTGGCCCCGCTCTCGCCTGGAATGAAAAACACAGGTGCTCAGGGGCCTCGGGGTCGAGGCAGGCAGCCATGGCTCAGGGACCTGGCACTAGCCAGATCCTGCCAGTCCCCCTGGCCAAGAACTCGTGTCAGAGACCCTCTGGGCAGCTCCCCGGACCCGACCCCAGCTTTGCTCTGGGTGCACCGACCTGAGGGGTTTGCTGCCCCCTCCCACCCTCCCTCCTTGCACACCCGGACACGCGTGATTGTGTACGGACGCCCGTGCTGTCCTGGGGGCCGGGCGCACCGGGAGCCCACGTTTGCGGGCGGCACTGGCCCTCACCACCTCAGCCTCGGCACCAGGAACCGAGGGGCTCCAATGCCTATGGAGACTCTGTGCCCAGTGCGAGCTGGTGTTTGCCAGGAACCCCCTCATTTCACACCCGCAGGAGAGAGTGGGCACCAGGGGGCGGGGAGATCCTTCGCAGCCTCGGGACCGTGACGGCTGCCCCTGTAAGGCTCAAACCCGCGGCCGCTGATGCAAAGTCCCACGGAACCCTGTTTGGCCACAGGGTCAGCAGAACCATGTGGGGCTGTCGTAGCAGGACACCCACTCTTAGCCCAGTGGCCTTGGAGGAGAAGGGCACGTACCGTCTTCCCCAAAAACCCTTTCCTAGTGAGCTCAGGAAAATGGCCACGCAAGGCAGCACCCGCCCAGAGAAGGACACACATTCTGGGGGGCAGGAGGCCGGGCCCTTGGAGACCCTGGGAGGACACTTTGGGGTGAGAAGAGGGTGCTGGTCGCCCAGAACCCAAGACCATTAAAGAAGGCAGTCCCACCTCCGTGATACATGGCCCGGTGGCAGAGCTCCGTCCAGCTGTTCCCAGCTCCGAGGAGAGCATCATAGGCAATCATGGGGGCATCGTGGCCCCGCCGGCCCCCTCGGCCTTCCGAGCTCCATTTCCGGTAAGCCTGAAGGAACAGTGGGGTCAGAGTCACACAACAGCAAACCAGTGTTGGCTGGAGCATGAGCTCCCGGGTTCTTCCAGGACACAGGTGTTTACCTACTGGCTGTGCACTTATGGGGCGCCATGTGTATGCCAGGCACTGCCCCAGGGCTGGGCTAACCGTGCACAGGAAAGACCCATCTCTGGAGGTTCCCACGGGTGCAGGCCTTCCCGTGACAAACCAGCCTGGCCACGAGTTGGGGCAGCTGCCAAGTCTATGGTGACAGAGCCTACGCGGCCCTCGTCTGAGCAGAGCGCGGGCCCAGCGGGCGCCAAGGCCCCGAGGCAGGGAAGGGTGGGGGTTCCACATGAACCCCCGTGGGGTGCACCACACGTGGTCAGGCTGGCGAGAGCAGGGATCGGGCAGGGGCCGGGGGTGTGTGTGATGGGCTGTCACAGCCCCGTGTCCTGGGGACCGTCAGCCTTGGTCTGGGGCAGCCATACCATCTGTAGGACTGCCCACTGGGGCCTTCCTGCATCCAGGTGAGGTCCAAGGGGGCACACAGAGGGGCGGCAAGGAATACCCGAGCAGGAAGGGTGGCCCTCCCTCTTCCCTGACACCGTCCTGACACCGTCCTGACACCTGGAACGCAGACGTGCTAGCTGGGGCTGGGGCAGCCGGCTGGGACCACAGGGGTGCCCTCGGCAGGCAGAGGGGCCGCCCACAAGTGTGCTCAGCGCCTGACTGCAAGGGGCTTCAGCTCAGCTTTGGGATCCCTGGACGTATGGACGACACGTGCGGATCTTGGCCACACCGCAGTGACTCAGGTCTCTCCCTCGTGCTACCACCCCCGACGCCGACAGCGTCCGCCCGCTGGGGTGTTTGCAGCACGAGGAAGGGTGATGGCGCGCGCAGCCTTGTTCATCAGCCTCGACTTGAAGTCCCAACCCCAGAGAGTGTGCAGTGGAACAGAGCGTCTTTAACAACCCTATTTTCAAATTTTCTAGCACATACCATGCTTTTAGTGAGAGAAAATGGAAAGATGAACTTTTATCTGTTTCAAACATGCTTCCTCCAGGAAGGTTTCCAACACACACCACCCCCCGCCGCTGCCACGGCTGCTCTGGGCCCCTCGTTGCTGCAGTGGGGGCCTCCGCGGCCAGGCTCCACACGGAGCCGGAACACAGCCCAGCCGCGGCGGCCCCTCGGCAGGGACACCGGCCATGGCCGTCCCCACCCTTGGACACGGCCAGACTTACCTTGTCCCTCTCCTCTGCGTCATAGCGGTCGGGGAAGATGGCTTTGCTCCCCGTGTCGTCGCTGATCTTTCTCTCCTCCAAGTAAAACTGCCACTTAGCTTCAAAGTAAAACCAGTGCTCCTGGTACTCTGCAGAGAGAGCAGGTGCGCTGTGCCAAGGGCTGCCAGCTGGCCGTGGGGGCGGGGTGGGCGGCCGGAGGTGGAGGACTGAGCCCACCCCGGCCACGGCTCCGTGGCTCCCGCTGGCATCCACCGCCACTTTGAAACCACCGTGAGGAAGGTGGAGACGAGGGACAAAGTGACCCTAAGCCTTGCTCGACTCTGTTTGGGACCCAAGGCCCAGCCTGCGGTCCCAACTGTTCTCCTGTGTGTCCTGAGCCTGTACCCTGCCCTGACACGTGCAGCTGGGGCGCAGGCGCCGACAGGTGAGCCCCTGGGCATCCCTCTGGCGGGCGGCTGACATCGTGGCGCCTCCTCGCCAGCTCGGGGAGCCTCTTGGCTCAGGGGGCAGAGCCGACACCCGCAGGATGGGGGACGGCTCAGAGGCACAGATAGGCCCTAGCACAGGTGTTGGTGGGGCTCCGGGTCCTGAGGGACCTGCAGGCTCGCAGGAAAGCTGGCCTGAGTCCGCTTTACAAAACTAACATCAAAGCCACTGAAGGCTGGGGCAAGGTGACAGGGCCAGACAGGAAGGCCCTGAGGAGACCCGGGCTCGGCCCACGTGGGGACACTTCTCTCCCGGCCACTGGGCAGCAAGTCTGGGGACAGACGCCCAAGCAGAAAGACAGGGAACGGAGTTGCTAGTGTCAGTACTGCCCACGGGCTTTGTCACCACTAAGCAGAAAGCCCTGGAGCATAATTTTCTCCAGACGGTTTTGGGTTTCTAGTGAAAAGGGTGTGTGTCCTAGAAGGTCATAAAACTCTAGGTTGAACACATTTAAAATTAAACAGAAAGGGACGCCTGGGTGGCTCAGTCAGTTGAGCTGCTGGCTTCGGCTTGGGTCGTGATCCCAGGGTCCTGGGATCGAGTCCCGCATCGGGCTCCTTGTCCAGCGGGGAGCCTGCTTCTCTCTCTGCCTCTGCCTGCCTCTCTGCCTGCTTGTGCGCTCTCTCTGACAGATAAATAAATAAAATCTTAAAAAAAAAAATTAAACAGAAAGATCCAAGTCCTCCCCATTCCTGTCCAGGAGCGCCCCTGACGGCTGCTCTGCGGGAAAGCCTGGGGAGCTCTGGGGACTGTCCCCCATGCATCGGGAACACACCGCGTGGCCCGCACTCGGCCTCATTGACCTGTCTCTCCCTGTAGAAGGACGCGGCCCCGGGCAGCCTTGCCACCGCAGAGAGCCCGGGCTAAGAGTGACTCAAGCCAGGCAAAATAAGGCAAGTGTGGAGCTCTGTTCTATGATTAGGTTTATAGGGGACACTGCAGTTCACGGTGGACAAGAGGTTCTCTGCTTCCCTCCAGAATGGGCCAGTGGGCAAGTTTCCCAGCACTACGAGCTGGCAGAAGCAGAGGCAAAACTCTCCTGGTCACGTTGGTCTGGAAGCTTCTCCACACGCATTTATAATGAGTCCCCACTTGTCAAAGGGTGACAGTGACTCGTGGGTTTCCTGTCTCAAGACCTCGGCCTAGGGCAGCCCCGAAGACCACAGCCTGCTCCTGCACCCACACCCTGAGCCCCCTCTGCCCCGGGACGAACACGGACAACTTCAGAGCAGCCGCGCGGAGCTCCGGGCCCGCCCAGAGGGAGAGAGCCCTGCGCGGGGCCGGCCCCCGAGGAGAAGCCATGGGCTTTCTGGCACTGCACCTGCTTCTCCATCTGGTCTGTTAGGTGTCATTTGCCCAACGCCAGTGACACCACGATCCCTAGAGCCTCTGCCGGACAAGCCAGTGGACACCACATGGGCAGCCAAGGGGGGGTGTCTTCTGACCATGGGTTTGGGTAACTGGGACAGACAGACATTTCTGGGTGTAGATGTCACCAGCGGGCACAGATACCCGTCTGGGCTCCGGGTCCGGCTGTCCGTAAGCTTTAGGAGCAGTGTGGACGTCAGTGTGGGCGTCCCTCGTCCCGGGGGACGGGCTACTTTAAGACCATCCGGAATGCCGAAGCCCAGTGTGCACCCCTGTCGTCTCTCTGGCTGCTGTCAGACAGCAGGACGGCTGGGGTCGGGGTGTGGAGCTCCAACTGCTCGACTGTTCCTGGTCTCCTGGCTACAGGGGCCCCCTGGGCAGGTGTCACCCTCTGCCAGGGGTGTCTTGGCCCGCTTGGCGGAGTCAGGCCTCCATCTCATTGTGGGGCGGGCTGACCCCGAGCTGTCTGGGAACCTGATCTGAATGAGTCCTGAGTGTGCATCAGGCCCGCTGATGGGGAGCGACAGGAAAGGGGCTGGGCTCACCTGCCAGGTGCCGGATTGTCTTTTTACAGTACTCCTCGGCCAGCGGGACTGTCCGCACCATGTCCCTGCCCCACTGCTCCAGCGGCTTGCCCTGCGCAGCGTACGACGCAAACAGGGCCGTGCACAGGGACCCGAGGAAGCCTGCAGGGCAGAGGGCAGAACGACAGAACAACCATGGTTCTGGGCATGCTGGCCTTCCGTCTCCTGCACGAAGGGCTGTGGTGGGGACACAGGAGTGCCCGCTAGGCCTGCCCGAGGCTCACGGAAAGGACAACCATGCAGAGAGAGGCACGGCCGTCTCAGAGCTGCCCTTGGGGTCTCGCTGGCCGCTCTGGGAGGCACTGCTGCAGGCTGGGAGTCAGTGTCGGGTTCCCAGACCTGTCACCATCCTGACCCCCTGCCGTGACCACCCCCCCAGGGGTATCCAGCGTCCAGGCCGCGTACCGCAATCCGACTGCGATGCCTGCAGCCAGCAGTGTCCGGAACACTGGACAGGAGCACCCTGCCTGCCCGGTGTTGCCCGCGTGCCAGCAAACCCTCCGTGTCTCATCGGGGCTTTCATCCGAAACACACCGTGTGACACGTTTCTTTCATACGAGCGGACAGTCCATCACCCAATGTAGAGGTCGGGGTTGCGGACCCGGAGTCCTGTGGACCTCGGACTGTCGGCAGACGCTCGCCCCTGTCACGCATGGAGGCTTCCCGGGCGCAGCCCGCCTCCACCTGCACCACGAGCCAGCGGGCGCTCAGCACGGAGCCCTCCCCAGCCGGCCGGGACACCGCCAGCCGCTCCAAACGTCTCCCTGCCGTGAGCGCCCCCCGCGGGCGCTGCCAGGAGGGCACAGTGTGGCCACACCAGCTACAGTAACACTGAAGGTGGCTTGGAGGGCGCCTGGGGGGCTCCGTGGGTGAAGCGTCTGCCTTCGGCTCAGGTCACGATCTCGGGGTCCTGGGATCGAGTCCCGCATCGGGCTCTCTGCTCGGAGGGGAGCCTGCTTCTCCCTCTGCCTCTCCCTGTCCACGCACCTGCTCTCTCTCTCTCAAATAAATAAATAAAGTCTTTCGGGAAAAAAGAAAAGTGGCCTTGAAAGAGGGAAGAGTCTCAGGACAGCGGCAGGCTGGGAGGGTGTCCCCCGCCCTGACTCACACGTGGTTACAGGTTTGCGAGTTTCACGTCATTTTTTTTTTTTTTTAATGTATTTACTTGACAGAGACACAGCGAGAGAGAACACAAGCAGAGGGAGGGGGCGGGGAGGGAAGCAGGCTCCCTGCCGATCAGGGGCTCAATCCCAGGATTCTGGGATCCTGACCCGAGCTGAAGGCAGACATTTAACGACTGAGCCTCTCAGGTGCCCACGTCATTCTTTCTTAAACTTAGGAGCCGACAGCCCTTCTAGGTCATGACTCAGGGTCAGCGCTGGGGCCCCGCCTGCCCTCATGCTGTATGACGGACATGCGGTGGGAAACCCCGGGAGCAGCAGGCATCATGGCTCCAGGAGGACAAGCCCACAGAGCTCGGGGCTCCATGCTCTGTCCTCCTGTGCAACTTGGCCTGGCTCCCAGTGCCACAGTCATCCCCACGACAGGTGGGGAAACGGAGGCACGGCTGGGGATGGGCGCAGCACTCAGCAGAAGACGCCCGACCTATGTGACACACAGTGTATGCCCGAGATGTCAGCCCGGGGCCCAGCTTCCTTTCCCTTCCCCCCAGCGCACAGGGAGCCACATCTGCTGGGTTCACCCTCTCCAGAGTTGCCACGTTCAACGCCAAGCTGGCTCTTAGGTCGACCACAGAGCGTACGCAGTGCACGCCGGCCGACAGGCAAGCGAACCCCGGGGACAGCGTCACCTGTGGGATGGTTGTGGGTCATCCTGCCGCACTCGACGCTCACTTCCACCAGTGTCTCCAGGCGCTCTGGCTTCCAGTACCGCATGCCGATGCACATGGCTTTGGTGGCGGCTCCGAACCCTGACCCTGGGAGGAACACACAGCGCACCCAGTTTCAGACTTTGCCCCGAGAACCCCGCCTCTGGCAGCCGGACTTCCACGAGTGGCCGGACACGTACACACACTTAGGGAGCACCGATCCCAGTGTCATGAAGGGAGTGGAAAACAGGCCCACGACCCAAGTGCCCGACGACGAACAGAGAGGAAGTGGACGGCAAAGCTTCCGCACGTCGGAAGGTTGCTCTGGCATCGGACACAGAATTCTGGGTGGCTTGGGACGCACTCCAGCGCGCTCTCCCGGGAAGATGTCGGGCACAGACCCGCAGAGACTGCGTGCTGTAGCCGGACACGTTTGCTCGCTGTGAAGACCGCTCTGCTGAGCGGGACCTGCCACGGAGCGAGGGCGCCATCCCGGGGTCCCAGGGCCCCGGGGCGGGGTGACCACCACCGCACTGCCCTCCCACCTGCTGACGGACGGCTGGGCCATTTCCCCGGGAGGTGATGGCGACGACAACACCGTGAACTCTCCTAACCAAACCTTCGTCCCAGCACACGCTTTCTTTTCTCTGGGGCGGACACCCCGGATGGACCATTCAGCTCCTCCGAGCAGTGAGTGGTCACCTCGGAAGGAGCTGGGGGGTCGTGTGCTGTGTCCCCCTGACGGGCCTCACGGTCAGTCTTTCCACATCCTCACCGACACCTGTCGTTTCCTGACTTAATTCCAGCCATTCTGACTGGCGTGAGGTGGGATCTCACTGTGGTTCTGATTAGGATTTCCCTGACGCGAGGGTGTGCAGCGACTGTTCACGTGTCTGCTGGCGTCCGAAGTCTCCTGGGAGACTCTCTTCCTGTCCTCTGAGACTTCGACCACTATTTCTTCAAATCGTTTCTTTGTTGCCCTTCGCTCTACCAGCGACCCTGTCACAGGCACATGAGGTCGCTGTACGTCGCCTGTGCTTTTCTCCGATTTGCAAATTCTTTTTTCTCTGTGTCCCACTCTGGGTTGTTTCTACTGTTGTGCCTTCAGACTCACTAAGTTTTTCTTCTGAAAAATATAATTTCACCCAGTGCATTTAGAAACTCAGACGTCGTAATGTTTTTCTGAAAATGTGATTTGTGTACATCTGTGTCCTTACCTAACTGTTTCAGCCTGTGGAATGCCTACAACTTTACACCCATTCCATGACTCGAACAGCTGCCTCAGGCTTCGTGGGTTCTGATTACTGATTTTTCTCTCCATTATAGAATCTGTTTCCCTTCTTCCTTCATGCCAGTAACATGATTAGATGCCAACCTCAGTATAAGCCCAGAGTGGGGTCCGTCCCCAGTATAAGTCCAGACAGGGGGACCCATCCTCAGTATAAGCCCAGAATGGGGTCCGTCCCCAGTATAAACCCAGAATGGGGTCCATCCCCAGTATAAGCCCAGAGTGGGGTCTGTCCCCAGTATAAACCCAGACGGGGGGACCTGTCCTCAGTATAAGCCCAGAGCAGGGTCCATCCCCAGTATAAAGCCAGAGTGGGGTCCATCCCCAGTATAAGTCCAGACGGGGGGACCTGTCCTCAGCATAACCCCAGACGGGGAGACCCATCCTCAGTATAAGCCCAGAGTGGGGGACCGTCCTCAGTATAAGCCCAGTGTGGGACCGTCCTCAGTATAAGCCCAGAGTGGGGTCCGTCCCCAGTATAAACCCAGAATGGGGTCCGTCCCCAGTATAAGTCCAGACGGGGGGACCCGTCCTCAGCATACCCCCAGACGGGGGAACCCATCCTCAGTATAAGCCCAGAGTGGGGGACCGTCCTCAGTATAAGCCCAGAGTGGGGTCCGTCCCCAGTATAAGTCCAGACAGGGGGACCCGTCCTCAGCATAACCCCAGACGGGGGGACCCATCCTCAGTATAAGCCCAGAGTGGGGTCCGTCCTCAGTATAAACCCAGAGTGGGGTCTGTACCCAGTATAAACCCAAAGGGGCGTGTTTGTCCTCTATAAACCTGGCGGGGCAGGTCCAGGACCCAGGAGCTGGTGCCATGGAGGCAGAGATCTGGTCACGTAAATATGGCCCCTCTGAACACATTGGAGCATCCTGGGGACAGACCACATGCTGCTAGTACATGTTTTCCTAACTTTGGTGAAATACAAACTTAAAGGGAAAGCAGTCGAGAATCTTCCTTAAGATGAACCCAGGTTTGGTGTGGATGGACGCCCGGGTGTCCGCCGCGGCACACGGGAGCCCCAGCCGTCCCCCTGTGCTGCGCAAACCTGCGGTGTTGCTGGTTAGTGGACGGCACACGGGTTAGTGTCCAGGCTGCCGTCCCACATGCGCTTTACGGGGAGAAGAAAGCACTCCCTGACCCTTCTCGTTGAAAGGCGTGTGCCAGGCGAGGAGGTAGTTATCTGGCTTCAACTGCGAGCAGCCTTCCAGGGTGGCCGGGTCCGCCCAGTGTTCTGGAAGCTTCTCGAGGACCTCCACGTAGCGCCTCACCATCTCCCGGTACAGGTCGTCCAGGCACCAGTAGTCTGGGAATGAAAGAGTAGGAGGACAGGGTCAGCCTGAGCAGGAAGGGCAGTGGCCTTGTGAGCCCCCAGGGTAGCAGGGACAAGACAGGTGGCAGTAAGCTTCGTGGCCCCACGTGTGTGGACGAGGAGGAAGCTTCTGGCGACCTGCCACCCACAGTCGTGGCTCCCTGGGGATGTGTATCCTGCACATGGTTCACTCTGGCTACACAGCAGAGTCCAGACAAAACCCACAGTTCTACCCACGTGAGGACTGGCCCGAAATCTGCCTGTTCCCTGGGCTTCTGAGAGCCCGTGTCTCTGTGCAGGGGGCAGAGCCTCTGCACTCCGTTGGCCTTTTCCCTCCTGTGAAGCAGCCAGGGCAGCCTCAGCTTGTCCCAAACTGCCCCCAGTGTGTGAGGGCATCCCTCGAGGATGGCGGACGTGGAGGGGAGAGTAACTAATGTGCTGCCCAGCAGCTGTCAGGGGGCTGTTGCCCCTGGACGGTTGCAGGTGCCCCCCAGCACCGCCAGCTTGTCTTGTTGGGTCCCGGGGAAGGCTCCGTGGGTTATGCGACCTGCCCGAGCCCAGAGATGATGGTAACCAGAGGTCGAGGGCAAGGTCTGAGCATTGCTGTCATTAAAAACCCAGCGTGGTGGGTAGAGGCCACAGAGCTCTAAACGTGGGGTCCAGTTTGCCTTGTTCCATCAGAGAGCAGGGCGGGGTGGTGGAGAGGCCGCTGTGCCAGGCCAACTGGGCAGGGGGAAGGCGCCAATGGGACTTTCACAGCTACCAACAGACTCATTCTGTACCCAAATTGCATTTCCTCCCCTCTCCTGGGTGCACACCCCAAATTTGGGTGGTGTGGGGGAGGAGAGGAGAGAAGGAGGGAGCCCTGTCCCCCTCTTGGTCACCCCAGGCGCGAGGGAGACAGGTGCACTCGGCAAGCCCCTCTGTTCCGGGAGGGAAGCTCCTGCCGCCCTCAGGGCCGATGGGCCCTCGCGCCCTGGAGTTGTGGCTCCGAGGCGGGACCTGGTCCTCAGTCCTCCTGCCCCCAACTGCACACGGCGGGCGGCCTGTGGGACGCACCATGCATGGCCGGAGTCTTTTGGGGTGTGTAGAGAGTGTGTGGCCAGCCGGGTTGGGGGTGGGGGTAGTGAGCTTCGCGGGGCACACGGCTGCTGGGGTCGTCCAGACGACTTCCCTTACAAACAAACAGCCTTTCTTAACTTGATCTGGGGTTAGTGCGCCGGCCTTCCAGAATCCCTCAGATAATCCATTCTATTCTGGAATCACATCCTTCTGAAGGAAAAAAAAAAACCCTCCTTAAAAACAAAATAGCAACAGACAGTCTTGTGTTTCAGGCTACAATCCAAACCAGAAACAGGTTTTCCACAGCCGCCGTGCCGCCCTCGTCGGACTCTCGCCACCTTGTGACATGGCCTTTGGGCTCACCCTTCTCTGCCTTCCCACCCTGTCTCTGCAGAGACAAGTCCACTCACGAAACCCCCGTACGTCTCCCAGTCCACGTCACCATGAAGAAGACAGATGCCCACAGCAACTCATTTTGTAGTAAAAATGTCAGCTTTTCAAAACGCTATTACCATCAGGGAGCCAGCGATGGAGGAGACAGAGAGCTGGGTCTGGACAGGCTGGGTGCGCTCATGCGTGGGCCAGGCCCCACGTTCCCCTGCGGGTACACACACGCCCGTGACGTCTGCTGTGGTCCCCGGTGGGCTCACGCCCCCGTTCCTCCTGTGCGGCCGTGGCTGTTGGAGCTGCTGACCCCCAGACCAAGACACTGAGAAAGACAGGTGTTATCTACCCCGCCACGAGCCATCGTCCCTTAATAATTTATTGCGTGCCCGGTGCCCGCGCTGCCCCACCTCGTCTCACATAAGCCTGTGACTGAGGCGTTGTCATCCCGAAGAGCAGGAGGGAAACCAAGCTTGCGAGTTTGAGGCCCGGGAGTGGCAGGCCCCAGGGCCCCCGAGGCACCCTTGGGCGACGGGCACAGGGCCACACACACAAGGCAGCTTTGGTGACTGCGTGCCGTGAGCCTGCCGGCGTGCTGTGGACACTGGATTGCCCACCCGGCCTGCAGGGAATGGGACTGCTTCCAGGGCCAGGACTGATCTCATCCAGTTCCGCCCATTCCAGAGACAAGGCCCAAAGGAGCAGGTCACACGGGCCCTCACGACAACAGGACCCTGCGGCCCCACAGCGTGGAATGGCGGGACGCACTTGAAAATGCCAACCTGTGGTCCCACTTTGTGAAGGTCTGCGGGTCTTGGGGAAAGTGGTGAGGAATTACCATCCACCGGAGTCCTTGAGGTCCCTGGGCGGCCGCTGGCTGCAGGCGGTAGGCATGGCATGAGGAACTTGGGTGTTGGAAGCAAGTTACCTGGTCCCGTCCCTGCTCAGATGTGGCTGTGGGGCCCTTGGGCAAGTTTCCTGACCTCTCTGTGTCCGTTCCTCTTCTGTAGAGCAGTGATAATGACGTCAACCTTCGGGGTGATGTGAGGGTCAGACGGTGACACAGGCGGGGTCAGCACACACCACGCAGCACTCAGTGCCATGTCGGGGCTGGCGGGGCCCGTGGACGGGCCTCAGAGGCTCCATTTTGGCTACAATTTGCTATTTTTTTAATTTCTTTTTTTTTTCAATTTGCTATTTTTTTAATAAAGATTTTATTTATTCACAAAGACAGGGCACAAGCAGGGAGAGTGGGAGAGGGGGAAGCAGGCTCCCTGCTGACCCTGGGATCATGACCTGAGCCGAAGGCAGCCGCCTCCCCAACGGAGCCCCCAGGCGTCCCACAGTTCGCTATTTATTGATAAAAGATCCAGCTGTTCGACAACTAAATTTAAATAAATTTCCCCTTAGATTTTTAGTGACTTGAAGAAGAACCGCTGCGGTTTGTGGAGGTTCTGGGTTGGGCGCTCTCTCCAGCGACCCCTCGAGACCGGCAGGCCAGGCGGTGCTGGGCACGCAGCAGCCCCCAGTGCCACGGCCGGAGGCGGGGCTTGTCTGCTCAGAAACGAAGCCTCGAACGCCCCCCACCCCTTCCTCCATCTCACATCGGGCAGATCCTGCCGTTTCCGTCAAGAGAGCTCAGGCTAATCTCGGAGCCCGACCGGTCCGCGGGCGGCTGCGGATGCGCGGTGGGTGGACTCCGCCGTCACGAGAGACGGGGCGGGCATGGAGAGGACACGGGACCGCGCGGGGCGCCCGGCCACAGGTGCCGTGGAGGGAGCCGCGTTTGGGAGCAAAGCCCGGGGTGGGGGGCCGGGGCTGGCCTCGGGAGCGGCTCCCTGGGGTGGGTGGGCGTCCTGCTGCGGGTCAGCCCGGGAACAGACACCGGAGACACTGGACGTCCCAGCGGAGCAGACTCGGGGAGCTGCTCCCCGCTCGGCGCCCCTGAGCTATCTTATCTGTGCGGCTCCAGGCCTCGCCCGGGCTATTTTGGAACCAGCGGCCGATGGCATTCCTGCCCGGTGAGAGCAGAGCTAAGCTGGGCGGGCCCCCCGGCTCGGGCCCCCGAGGCCTCCTTGCCTCTCTGCCGCCCGACTTGCACCCTGTTCGCCGGAACCAACCCGAGAGCTGTGCTCACCCTCCGCTGCTTCCCTGAAAGTTGTGCAGACACGCGCCCCTGCCCACCTGCTGCCCAGGGAACACGGCACGACCCCGGCCCCCAGCGGCCAGACTCACTGCGTCGCCTCCCTACGAGCGGTTTAGGCAGCTATCGGAGTCCTAATTTGGGAGATGGCGTTTAGACTCAAACTCTTTGGGATTATAAGTAATCCCCAAACAACGTTATCTTAATGGGCCCAAATTTCCAATGGGCTTATTGTTTTTCTCTTCTTTCAGAGTGAAACCGGAGTGAAACCGGAGTGAAACCGGAGGGCTGACTGCCTGCAGGGAGAAGCTGGACCCTCTCGTGAAACATCCCAAGCGAGACATTCAGTTGGTTTAACTCTGGAGACACGTTTACAGACGTGAACCAAGAGTCAGATTTCGGAGGCCGATCGCGGACAGGCAGAGTGACACGACCCGGAGAGGCGGCGAGAAGGGGTGCTGGTGGCGGGGGTTGGGGGTCGTTGTGGTGGAGACGCCCGGCGCCCGCAGGACCGCGGCTGAGGGCAGGGTGGCCGGCTTACCTGTGGTCAAGGCCCCGGCCGTCGTCAGGTGCATGATGGTGTTGTCGCTCACTGGCCACGTCTCCGGGGAGAGTGGCCGCTGGTCCAGGCTCCCGCTTCGCTGCGGCCCCTCCGGGACCTTCCTGCCAGAGGCACTGTTATCCTTGTGGGCATTTCTGTGTCCGAGCGCGTCCCCCACGGCCCCCAGCAGCATCGCAGCCTTGAATTTCTCCATCGCGGAGGCCGCTCCTCTGGCCGTTCAGCTGCCCCACGCCCAGCCTTGGTGCTCCACGGCCGTGGCCTTCAGTGCCCCCCACCCCCCGCCCCGCATTGTGGCCACAGTGCCGCTGGGAGGAGCCCCAAATGGCCAGGCACGCCCCTTCCGTCTCGGCAGGTGGCACCAATGAGAACCTCTCCGGCCCCGCTGCTGCTCTGGCGCCTGTGGAGGAGCCGCGTGGTCCCGGCCCTCCCTTCTGCGTCAACAGGGCACTAGCTCTGAGCCGTGACAGCTGCAGCCACCTCCCCGCGGGGCGACAACTCTCCGCGCTGAGCCAGAGCCGGGGCTGGGGAAGGCGAGCACTGGCCTCCGCAACCTGGGCGGAGTCCACAGGGCAGTGCCTCGGGCGCGCAGGGCTCGGGCTCGGGCTGGCAGCCGCCCGCTCCGCACACCTGCTCCTGTGGGCTCTGCCCCAACAGCCTGGTCTTTGCTCGCATTTCGGGGAAATGGGACCGTGGACTCTGTGGCCCGACAGCATCACGTCGCGTTCCATTCTTTCCATGCATGGTTTCACTTTTTGGAAAACTGTTTTGATGACACAGTGTTTGTCAGAAAACCGAGGGGATGTGCAGGCCAAGGAGAGAAGCGCCTGGCGTGCCTGTGGGTGCGGGTCTTCCCCTTGGCTCTCGCGCGGCGGCCGGGCTCCGGACCCCAGCCTGCACGCAGACGTGCCCAGGTCCGCGGGGCGGATGTACTACAGGAGGGGAGGCTGCGGTGCGGGTGTGCGAACCAGGCCCTGGGGTTGAAACTGGGAGTTCAGAAGCAGCGTCCCCGCCCGCCGCCGGCGCCTGGGACCGGGTCAGTATCAGGCCGGATGTAGGGCCCATCAGCCCTGGATCCAAGGAGTGCGTCTGAGAACCAGAGCACTCCTTCCACGAACAAGACGCTGAATCGCACCTGAGCCCGGGACTGTTCAGTCAGCAGTTGGGACCCAGGAGGCTGTGGAACATCCTTCCAGCGAGCAGGGTCCTGGGGGGGGAAGCCGTGTGCTCCCTGCCCAGCGGGACCAGACACCCCAGACACGCAGGCCAAGGAGCGTCCATAGAGAGCAGCACCGTCTGCGGCCCATCCCTTTTGCTGGCTCTGAGGCCGTGGGAACCTTCCGCGAAGCGGCCAGGAGCAGCCCCACGCTGCCCGGCCCGTGTGGGCACGGCCCACCGCCTCCGGCACCTCATGGAGCCACAGGCGCGCGCGCCCCCCATGCAGCCGGAGTGCCGCGCTCAGTCGTGCCTATGACCCCAGCGTGGGAAGACGGGCCCTGCGTCGTGTGTCTTCACTAAGCCTATTACATACACTTGGCTGCTGGTGCATTCTCCGTCCACTCACAGTCCGCACTCCCGGGGCTCTGGTACCGGAGCCCATAGCTCAGGGAAAGCCTCTCATCTTCAATGGAAACAAGCACTTAGTGGGCACACGCCGGTGACGGAAAGGAGCACCTGGCCTGGCTGTCCGCTGTGGGACACGACCGTCTAAGCAGGGGTGCAGGCCGTCCACGGGGGTGTCCCCAGAGGGGCCAGGTTCCTGGGGGTCCCAGGGCACCCAGCATCTGAGCAACCGAGAACAGACCTCCCCACACCAGAGAAAATAATTTATTTTAATGTTTCTGAAGCCCCCGGCACTTGCACACAAGCCTTAAATACACAGAAGGAAAAGCAGCCTGGCTCTCTGCAGAGCCTCTGCCTGAGCCCCAAGGCTCGGCTGCGTCCCCACGAGCGGCCACGGGAGCCCCGCCACGCTGAGTCTTCAGAAGTAGCAGCTGCTGGTGACCCCGGGGTCTGTGCGAGATGACCACGCTCCGCAGCCTCTCGGAGCAGAACACTTACCTGGCAGGAAGCCGCGACCCCAAAGGATGCCTCAAACTTGTGGAGGTGTTTATTCTACAAAACCAGGCTCTCTCCGAACCCCCGGCTCACAAGCAGAGAAGGCCCTGTTTGTCCCCGTGCAGCGGTGGATGTGCAGGCCCAGGAGAAGCTGCACGACTCGGTCGTGAGTCTCGCGAGGGGCCACTGCGGCCCTGATGGTGGCGTCCAGGCCCCGAGCCCTCTTTCCTGCCCTCCACAGCCTGCTGACTGTTTGAAAGACTCCTCTCCCAAAGCACACCCAGTTCACACACAGCAGGTGTGCAAGCCCCCGCTGGCCCAGATGCTTCTGGAAACGCCAACTCAAGCACACATGGCAGGACACTGTCCACATACGGAGGACCCGAAGCGAACTTCCTCCCTCCTGTGAAGTGACGCCAACTCGTCTGTCCCATGAACTCGTGATGTGAAGCTCCTTCCGCACGAGGTCGGGTCCACACCGTGACTTTCAGAACACGCAGCTTTCTCCAGACGGGCCTTCCACGTTCGGACGGCCGCGGGCCTCGCGGGACGGTCTCCTCTGCCAGCAGACGAGGAATCAGACAGCGACGTGCCGAGCTCGGGCTTCCGGCAGAGACGAGGTGGAGGTCTCCGCACGGGTGACAGGTGACGAGACGTAGGCGACACGCACGCGGCCCTGGGGTGGGCGACGGGCCTCCCAGACTGCTGCAGGGACGCAACTCACATGCCGTTCCAATGCATAACCCGTCGCTTGTGAAAGAAAAACTTTATATGGAAAAATGTCTTTTTAAATGTTATAAAATACATTTTTTTAAAAAAACATACTTTACAAAACTTTTTAGGAAACTCATTCAAATGACGTTGGAAGGAAAAGACCCACGACTTGTCACAGTTGACAGTTGCGTCCCTGGAGTCACAGCCCACGTGTGCCGTCAGTGCACAAGCCGCCACACACCGAGAACCACCGAATGACTTTCACGTGAGCATCTATGGGGAATTAGAATAAAAATAGATCTAATAAATCTAGACATTTGATAATTGAGAAAATAGAAATCTTAAAATCACGGCACCAGGTTTATAAAATGTTGGGATCCCAGCAGAGGCTCGTTGGGGCAGCCGGGCAGCAGCTCTGACTAGCAAAAGTGCATGGCACGGCCGAGGACAAGGTCGCACCTCTTCGGGAGTGACGGGGAGGACAGGCAGCCAGTGGGAGCCCGGTCTCCACTGGCGATCACGGTACATCATGAACGCAGCAGAAGGCCCGGCCGCTCTGCGAACAGCTCCGGTTCCTTTTTCCCGAGTAGCATGCAGACCATGCAGCGGTCCCCTCATCGGACGGACGGGGACTGACTAACTGGACTCCCAAAGCGGGCTGGACACCACGGCCGGTGTCCCAAAGCAGCGTCTTCTAAGGCGCTCCTTCCGGCATCCGGCATCCGGCTCAGCCCTTTCTTTAGCCCAGGGAGGTCAATCCAGCGCCCCGGCTGGCGAGAGTGACCGCCAGGGCCAGCGCCCCGGGCACGGTGATCGGCGAAGTGTCCCTGTGCGGGAGGCACCTCCTCTTGGCATCTCGATGCATCGTAATCTTCTGCCTAGAAAGGGCTGCGCTTGGCGCCTGTGACGACCGGCCGCGCGTACTCCACGAAATCATCGATGAGGACAGGCCACGCTCCTACAGGAAATCAAACACACGGGGTTTTTTTGTTTTGTTTTCTAAATCAACAATTTAGACTAACAGCTTTATATTCAGAGCAGTCTTCTCACAGTCGGTGTCTGCATTCCAAGAGTCAAGTAAGTTTGTGTCCCAGACTGTTACTCTGAAGGAATTGGCCAGTGAAACCCATTTTTCCTGCTCTGGCCAGAGCTGGTGCTCTTTTCTCCCTGGGCCATCCCCCTCCAGCTTGAGCCGCCCCCACATCCCCCGTGGCCCGGACCACCCCAGATTCTGGGACACCCCCGCCGGCAGATACGCACTCGCTGTAAGCTGCTGGCTGCTCTGCACACGAGCTGCGTCTTGCCACCGCGGCTAAGCTCCCGGTAGCTGGGCTTCTGCCTACAGCCAACCATCCACCCATCTACTCACACGCGGTTGGCAAGCGGCAGCTCTGTGCCCGGGCGGAGGACACCCACAGACACGCACGCCTAGGCGGTGAGCCTTCACTGAGCAGCCCCAAGAGCAGGGACGTGAGGAGGTGCCCCAGAGGCCGCCCCCAGGCTGGGCGCCGAGACTGTGCCTCCCTCCCCAATGTGGCATGGCACCCAGGACAGCGGGCCTGCAAATGCTCCCTGACCAGCTGTCCTGAGACAGGTGGCAGAGGGACCACGAGATACGGAATCATGGGTACGTCAAGTTCCTGCTGGAATCTTCAGACCCACGTCAGCAGCATGACAGGGGGTCAGACAGGATGGTGTGGTGGTCGGGGGTTGGCTACAGGACCCCCTGCACGGCCCCCTTGGAAATGCTTTAGTTTAGGGGACATTCTCCCCTGGACTGAAACCGCATCTGAAGCCCTCTTTTTCCTGTGTGAGGCTGATGGATGCACTAGAGTGAGGCTATCATTACCGTCATCACCCCCACTGCACTGAGGCGGCGGGCCTGGAGCCGGGGGTGGGGGGACACTGGCCTGCACCCCGGGGGCAGGGACGGGTAGCCCGCACGGCCGTGGTTCTGGCCACCACCTGAAGCAGCAGGACTTCCCGTACCTTCTTCGTCATAGTTAGACATGTCATCTGCAATCATGTTTCCAAAATCCAGCAGAAGGTTCCAAGTGTCCCTTGGGATTGATCGTTTGTGATGTTCCTAATACATGAGAGAAAAAACCGCAGACGTGAGAAACAGACCTGACCCTCTGGAGTCCGACCGTCCAGTTGGCCTGGTCCGCAGTCTGGCGTGGACTGAGCCGCACCACACGCGCTGCTGGACGTTAGGGACAGTGGAGGCTTCCGGATGAATCTGGAACTACACAGGGCCGGCAGGCAAACAGGCAAGAGTAGACTTATTTAAAAACAGAATAAACATTTGAAATACCAAGATTACGTTTCAATCAAGTACTTTAAATCCCTACCTCACGCCCACTGATTCAGACCCAACGCAGGACGAGAGGCAAACTGCAGTTGGACACGATTTATTTCCCTCTATGCCAGGAAGGGGGATGGTCTAAAAGCATGAAATTCAATACCTGAGCTGCAGGCGGCCCCCCGGGGGTCCTGCCCTACACGCCCGGCAGGCCCGGTCCTCTCCCACCCTCCCCGGGCTGCACAGTGCTCCCCTCTCAAGGGACCCCGCACCCTGCTCACCCCGTCTTTGTGCATTTCTCTAAAGCCACGTGTCAGGCCTCGACTCAGCAGCGGCCCCCGTGCCCTGGGAGCATTCCACCGAGATTCTACCCGCTCTCCTGCTAGGGCTCTGGCGACGTTCCTAAGTTCCCGCCTGCCTCCCCATCTCTGGGAACGTCGGCCACGGAGGTCGCTGGCCCCAAACTAGTAAGTGGTGGAGCAGAGTCAACGTGACGGGCGTCTTGGCTTTCCCACGCTGCTTCAAGGAGGCCCCTAATCACACGGGACCCCTGGGGGAGGCTGGGCCCCGGATGGGCCGGGGTCTGTGCTGCGAGAAGGCCCGCCCCCTCACACGTTCATGGAGTAAGTGACACGGTAGGTCTGGGCCCAGTGACGTCACGTGACTATCCTGCAGCAAGACCCCAGGCTCCACACGCTTCCCACTGTGACACCTGCTTCCCGTACTCCTCCTGGTGAGGACAGGCTGCCCCACTGAGGCCCAGCGCCGCTCAGAGGCCCGCCTCCAGCACAGACAGGCCGTCTCCAAGGGGCCAGCTAGCCCTCCTTTTTCCTTCTGGGCATCATAACCACGTTTAAAAATGTGTCAGACTACGAGCGTGCTGGACAGCGGGTAACCATCCAGTCTGGGGCCAGGGTCAGCGTCCAGGGCGTGTGTGCCTGATGCATTCTTCAGGAATTCCAAGCTTCTTGGAGGAAGCACAGGATTAGTTGGTGTCCCTCAGAGAAGGTGGCGGATGGGGGACTGCCCAGGTCTGTAGGGCGTCTGAAAGCCTGCCTGGGGGGTCTGTGCATTGCTCCCTGAACTGATCGGACATGGGCCTTGGGACAACCCTGCCTGGAGCTCCACGGCCATGGCGCTCTGCACGGCAGCGTGGCCTTGTGGCCACTGTTCGGAACTCCTATGACCCACCACTCGTCCGGAACACCTCGATCAGACAACACAGCCTTGTGATCGGCTGACCCCTCCCACTGGGCACACGTAGCAAGCGGCAGGAGGACACTTACCAATAAGAAGGAGTTCCAGAGATCTAAAAATTTAAACCTCCCAGGTAATACTAAATTCCAGTATGCAACAGCCATTTCTAAATCTGGCAAAAAAGAGAAAGAGCAGTTAATAAATCCTAATTTCTTTTTCCACTGCCCAAAACGTGACCACTTCCTACCGCACTGATATTCACTCAATCGATAAAACTCAGCACTCTCACCCACGAGTCAGATGAGGCCCAACCCCTATGGAACAATGTTCCCAAAACTGTGATGTGAGAGCTCGGGGGGTCTACGCGTTTGTGACTCAGACGTGCGAACGGTCATCACACCGGTGCCGGAGACATGCATCCTCGTATACGTTGAGCTTTCCTCACACCTGACTGGACCGACCTGGACACAATTTGCACATGTCATTTATTACTGGTGCCTCCCAAGTGGCCCTGCCATCTGCCACCACAGCAGCGCAAAGAGCCAGACTCGGAGGTAAGCCACACACGCACTACGAGATCTCCACCTTTCTCAAGGTCACGGCAGGGGAGAAAATGTCCACGGACGGACATTTAGCTCTAGACTGGGTATCAGAGTCCACACCGTCCATCTTCCCCGACACGGACCCCGCTGCACGGCTCAGGGGAAGATGGTGTCTTATGGAACAGGGTCGCTGAATTCTAGGACTGCAGGATGCTATCTTAAGCCCCAGTTGTTGGAATACTGACTCGTTCTCTGCTTACTGTAACTTAAACATCTTTTTCTTTCTGCGCACTTGACGTAGCAAGTGCATTAAGGGGCTGAGCTGAGCCTGCCCGTTGAGCCGACAACCTTTCATCTCAGGTGCGCGCCGCCTTTGCACAATAAAGCACAATTGTGCTGAAACGGTTTCCTAATTACGTGTTTACATCCAAACGTCAGGATGCACTAATGTGAAAAACAGACAAATAAAAACTTAGGGTAACAGATTCTCTTAAATGCAAAATATCCAATGAACCACTTTTCAGAAAACTTTCATCTAATTCTTGGTTGGTCCCACTTGGACAACTGACTGAAGCAGGAGTGCAGGGACACCTGGCCGGCGCAGTCGGTTGAACGTGCGACTCCTTGTCTCAGGGCTGCAAGTCTGAGCGCCACGCGGGGTGCAGGGGTTAAACGAGTCAGACAGAAAAGCGAAGCTGTCACCCGAGATGCCCAGGAAAACCGCATGAGCAAAGCAAAGACTGAGTAGCACCAACTTTACATAAAACGCCTATATTCCCCCTGTTTAAAGTCAATACAGACTTTCTCAGTCTTAAATACGCTGGAGTCTTAATGAGAAAGAGACGGCCAGGAAGTCTGCAGACTGGCCGCACGGGACAGAGGAGATGGCTTGCTAGCCCCCGCCTGCCGCCCTCGGTCGAACACGGAGACCCTCGTGACTTTGAAAGGTTGTCAACCGAGATGCACCCCCCCACCGCCCCCTGCCCTGCCTCCATCCCTGCCCCTTCCCCGCCGGGAGGGGCCTGCAGGCCAGGAGACCCCTCCGAGAACTCCATGCCAACGCAGAAGAGCCGTGGGCGGAGTTCTGCCTAAATCCGTGGCCCAGAGAATCCCGTGGAACCACAGAGGACGGCTGCGGGAAGCCGCTACGCTCTGAGGAGCTGGCGGGTGTGGGGCGCAGCCTGAGAGCCCGCACTCCGGGCGGGCCCCCAGGTGATGCGGGCTTGCGGGCCTGCGGATCTCGCTGGGCGCCGCCCAAGATCAAAAGTCACGCTGGGCGGGTTCCTTCCCGGTTCTCCGCCCCGGCAAGGTGCCCCGGCAATCGCCAGACAGACGTTCTCCCGAGCAGCAGCTGCCCGTCCCGCTGAACGCAGCCGATTCCCTTCGAGCATCAAAAGGGAAGAATCCCGTATGCGGCAAAGTAGCAACACACGTGAGGAAGCATTTCTAACGGAAACTTAGCTACGCTGGGACCCTACAGCGACAGAATGAAGCAGACACGAGGGCCGCCGTCTCACGGCCGCCATTTTGAAATTTGGATCAAACTAATTATCACTCTGAAAACTGAAATGAAATGAGATCCAAGAATGAAGCTGCTCTAAACAAAGCTTCCCTCAGGAAGCACAATAATCAGCTCAGACCCGAGTTAGCCAAACTTGAGGAGCGCGCGGAGGGGGCATTTCTGGTTCGGTGAGTAGGACACAGGGAAAAGCAGGAAACAGAGAGAAGTCAGGAGGAGAGAAGCAGCTTAGGAAGAAATCCTGCCCGACAGCAGAAAGGGCGCCGGTCCTCCCCAAACGAGGGGCCTTCTTACAGGTGCCGCGGGCAGGGCACGAGCCCAGCCAGACCCTCCAGCACCAAGCGTCGGTCTCCAGAAAAGCCCGGAGCACGCCCGGCACCGCTAGCCACAGGCTGTAAACTCTAAGGGTTACTTCGCAGCCTCTGGGAAAGGAGTGGCTCGGAACAGACATGATAAAGCACAGGTTTTAGCTCCACAGTAAAATGTCGGCCCATAGAAGAAGAGTCTTGGGCATACCTATTAGGGCTACCGTAGAGAACAGGAAAACCCCACATCGAAACCCCCAGGACGTAACAGGTGAGGGCAGAGACGTGGAGACGGCGCCGCGGCTCGGCCAGCGACAAGGTCAGGAGGGGCCGCAGCGGAAACAGTACGGTGGCTCCTCGGGAACCTCAGCCCGGCCTCGTGGCACAGCCCCGCAGCCGCCCACGTGCCAGCAGGGCCGGAGTGGAGAAGCAGGGGCTCGAGCAGCCAAGCGACAAGCCGCGTGCGTGGCAGCGTTCCTCACAGCGGGTGAGAGCCGGACGCGACCCGAGTGTCGCCGTGGAGAAGCGTGTGAGCAAAACGTGGCACGCGCGGGGACGGTCTTTCAGCCTCAGGAGGAGGGACAGCACGCAGCCCCGGTGAGCCTGGAGAGCACCGCGGTAAGAGGAATTAACGAGCCACAGCAGGTCACACGCCGGGGGCTACCGCGGGAGTCGACTGCACAGGCCAGGCGGGCGGCCGGCGGCGTCAGGGGCGGGTCCGGCGCTCGCTGGGTGAGGAGCTGCCCCGAACCAGCATCCTAGAAGCCCAAGAAAGTAATTCCACATGGAAATGAGTGAGCAAAAAGCATGACACGTCATCCTAAGCAAACACGACAATGCAAACAGATGGGCAGTCCAGGAAAGCGCGACCTTCCGTTTCAAGCAGGTGCACACGTCAAGAAATGACAGGACGCGGGGACAAGAGCACACGTGCGGGGACGCGGGAGACGAAGCTCAGGAGCCAGACGTGGCAGAGCGCTTCGGAAAGAGCTAGGCCAGGAGGACCCGGCCAAGAGGCCCGACGGGCAGTGGCTTGAGGGAAAGCAGCGGACAGGGAAGGCAGCTCATCCGGCAGAGCCAGCCGGGAGCTGCGAGGGTTTTCCCGAGGACGCCGGGGAACCGGCCCGTGATCTCGGCCTGGGAAAAAGGCACAGAAGCAAGTGTTTATCTTGCCGTCCCTAGATGAGCCGTTCGCTGGGAGTGACGCATCTCCTTGCCAGCGTCCTCCACGTCGGACGTGACAGAACGACAGAGGTGGCCACGCGGGCAGACGGATGTGGGCAGTTGCAGAAGCCGTGGCGGGCGTCCCGAACAGAAGATGGCCAGAGGCGAGCCTACGCAGACGGCCCTCACTGCCTAGTCTCCCTGCAGGCCGGAAGGCGCGTCTGCGCTGGCCTGGGACAGCCCCAGGCACACACCAGCACCACCACGCAGCAGACCAGCCACCTTACGGGGTGTCACGGAGGCAGTTAATGTTTTACCCGTTTTTCTTAGCTGTCCTAACACAATTAAAGGCACTACTCATTCTGTTAGACAAACCAGAGGCTGGTCATCCAGGCCTGCTAGCCCAGATGGTAGGGTGGGTAATTTAGGAAGCGACCTGGGACCCCCGGCTTTCCCCCAGCCTGTGCCTCTTTTGCAGACGGCCCCTCTGAGGGCCACGCACACCTCGGAAGCTGTCCCTATACACCACACTGCCTTCCCTGGCGGTCCCCTGGCCCTGCCACGGTGCCATGGTGGTGACAGCTATGAGGATGGAATTTTCTGGGTGTGTAAGTCTGTACCGCTGGGAACAGAGCCGTGATCTTTCAGACGAAAGCAAAGCGGAGGTGCAAAGTGTCCTCAGACAGCCAGGGCCGCGGACGGAGGCCTCCCAGCTGGCTCTGAGGCAGGCAGGTAGGAGGCGAACGTTGTCTGTGTCAGAGCGAGAGCAAAAGGCAGGGGCTGATGTCATCAAGACCCCACTGCACAGGGCAAGATGACGCTCCAATCAGCCAATGGTCACAGTGAGCTTGACCGAAGTCACACAGCTCCCCTCCCTGGGGGGACAGAGGAGCCTGCCCGCCCCCCTCTGGGACAGAAGCTCTCTCCACGTGCGCCTGCATTTGATATGCTGACAGGAGAAGGAAGAACGTCTGAGACGGAGACAGAAGGTAAGAAGCTTTACGGCTCACACACCTGCAAACGTGCACGAGTGAAATTGGGCCCTGAAATCAGCGGTTTCCAATGGGTTTTCCTATCCATGGATTCTCAAGCCCCTTTTGGTTTCCTACTTAAATCTGGTTACTGTATAATAGTGCTTTATATTTGAGAACGCCTTCTTCAAAACATTCTAATACACCTGCTGAAGCCTATTTAAAGACCACATAAGGCCCTGCTCTAAACCTGTAAGACATTTTACTGAACTAACCATATCCGTTACATTACACAGAAATAAATTATATGGTACTCAGGAGGAAAAACAAATGAAAATAAGCAGAATAAAGCCCTCAAAGAAACCAAAACAGACTGAAAATTTAAGTTAGGAATTTCCCAAAATAAGTTATATTAGAGGACAACTGTTCGAGTCGGAAAGAAACATGGACATGTGATCCAGGGCCCATCAGAACCGTGTTATGCCTCCAGACCAGGACAGGACTCCCGTCCCCTGGCTGGTCCCCACAGTCCCACCTGCAGGTCACACACCTCCTGAGGCAAACACTCCTGTCGACACGGATTGATTTCTCTGACCCGTGAGTCAATGCGACAGAACAGAGAGCACTTGCAAATCAGTTTACATTTTGACATTTAAATACTGAAACCCAGAAGTGGAGAGTGACCACCGCGTGGCGGGGGTGGAGGGCGGCCCGCCCGTGCGTGGTGCAAGCCGCCGGGAGGAGACGGCTACGGCAGAGCCCTGCGGGGGCAGGACTGACACGGGGCTGGTCGGACTCCCTCTTGGTCTCACGAGGATGTGGCTTCTCGCGACGGTGCACTTTACACTCACCTAAACCCTTCTGCCCGGGGTTCTTAGCGAAGGAAAAGGTAAACTGATAAAAGTCCTTAAACTTCACCGGGTCCTTCAGCTCCTGCTCCAGTCTCGGCAGAAGGGCCCGCAGCTTCTCCGTGCTGTCGCACCTGCGGGGAGACAGAGCGCGCCGTGGCCGGGGCAGCCGCACCTTCCCGCGGGCTGCAGCCGCCCGAGGCTCGGGTCCGGGAGGCGGACTGCTGGCGGGCCCCTGCCCCGGCGAAATGGACCCCAGCATTCCAGAACCGCCTGTGGTGATGGCCGCACAGCACCGCTCGGACACCGACCCTCCGACCTCCAGGCGGTGGTGCGCGAATGCTACACCACGCGTTAGGCCCGGACTAGAAATAAAGGGAAAAACAGAGCCCACGACTGCTTGCCGTCCCTGTGCGAGCTGGCGCACAGGCCCACTTTGACCCACACGCAGGCCCGGCCCTGACGACAGACGGGCATGACGGAGGGACCCCTCTGCCCGGCCCCCTCGGGGCGCCGAGCCGCTGGGCCACCCGCAAGCTCCTCCGCTTGGGGTCACTTCCTTCCGGCTGAGCTCAGAACTCCGAGCATGATGGAACACAGAGCCGCTGCTGGAAAACTGGGTTTTCTGGGTGGGGACGGGGCGACCCAGGGGAGGGGACTGCGGGGACTTATCAGGATGAGCGCTGAGTCAGGTGCATGACTGTTCAATAGCTCCGTGGTTCACCTGAAACTACTAGAACAATACATTAATTAGACTGGAATTTAAAAAATAAATTACCTTAGGGACGCCTGGGTGGCTCAGTTGGTTAAGCGGCTGCCTTCGGCTCAGGTCATGATCCCAGAGTCCTGGGATCGAGTCCCACATCGGGCTCCTTGCTCAGCAGGGAGCCTGCTTCTCCCTCTGCCTCTGCCTGCCACTCTATCTGCCTGTGCTCACTCTCGCTCTCTCTCTCTCTCTCTCTCTGACAAATAAATAAAATCTTAAAAAAAAAAAAAAAAAAAATTACCTTAAAATAAGTAAATAAATAATAAAACTGGATTTTCCTCCAAGAAGTCAACAACCTTTAAGAATATTAAAAAGTGGGGTGCCTAGGGGCTTAGTGAAGCAACTGCATTCAGCTCAGGTCATGATCTCAGGGTCCTGGGATCGAACCCTGCATCGGGCTCCCTGCTCGGCGGGGAGCCTGCTTCTCCCTCTGCCTCTGCCCCTCCCCCTGCTCCTGCTCTCCCTGTCCCATGTGCTCTCTCTCTCAAATAAATAAACAAAATCTTTTTTAAAAATTATAAGAAAGAGTATTAAAAAGCCTTTAGAGCAGAAATGTAGAATAGGAAACCGTAAAATGTGTCTTTATAGTTCGACTCCCCAGCACAGAAGTACGAGCAGGCTGCGGAGATGCGTGACCCCACTCGGCGGGGCTTTGCAGGGAGCAGAACGGCCGCGGCAGTGGCCGTGAGCCCAGGAGGTGCAGAACTACAGCTCCCGGGACCCCCATGGAGGGTGGTTGGGGCAGCGCCTTCCCCAGCACTGGCCTTCCCTCTGGGGGGCTGCTCCGGGCCCTCCCATGTGCCTGCATCACCCCAAACGAGCAGTGCTTAACAGTTAGCTACCCCGACCCCGACGGTCCATCACGGAACTCACGGTGTGATTTCCGCGCCGAGTCTGTGAGGCCCCGGTCTGCCGGCTCAGGGAAGTCCTCTGTGCCGAGCACACGCCCCTGCATTCAGATTTCCTGACTTACGTGTCCCACGGGTGGTTAACTCTTCTGGCTGCTTCTAGTTTTCTGGGAACAAAGACGGCTGTTAAAAGGGTCTCCATACATGCATCCCGGTGCACACGCACGTGTGCTGGCTTAGGCACAAGCCCCAGTGGGCCGGCTGGGTCAGCAGGTCCACAAAGCTCCAGTGATGTGGTGTCACACTGTTTCCAGAGACTGTCCGCCTCACACCCCCGCCAGCAGGACGGCAGGGCTCCTGTTCGCCCCATTTCCGCTGTCACGTGTGACTGTGTCTTACCTTAGCCGTTTCACAGTCGGCTGTAGTTTTAACCTCTACTTCCCGGGCGTCGGTAAGCCTTGTGCCGTGACTGGCTATCTGGAAATTCTCTTTTGTCAAGTGCCTGCCAAGCCTCCTGCCCATTTTCAGTTCGGTATCTTTTTCCTATTGTTTCCCAGGCTTTGTTTCCACATGAAGGGCACAAGCCTTTGTCAGCTAAGCTTGGTTGAAGTTCTCTCCCAGAACGTGGGCTGCCTTTTCACTTCCTTGGTGGTGTTTCTTGACGATCAGTTCTTACATCCTATCAGTCTCCCTTTTCACAGTGTTTGCTTGATGTGTTCAGATTTTCCCTAAGCAAGGTCATCAAAAGATATTCTCGATTTTCCCAGAGGCTTCTGGCTCTTGCCTTTAGGCTTTCACACAGACAATTACGACCCACTGGGAACTGATTTTTTACATTTTTTTTTTACATGATTTTACATTTTTTACGGCGGGAGGTAGGGATCAGGCTAAGTTTTCCTCCGTGTGAGTAGCCAAGGCTCACAGAAACATTTACTGAAAAGGTTCCTTTCCTCACTTCTCTGAAGTGCTGCCTTGGCAATACGTCTGGGTGCCTGTGTACGTGGATTTGTTTCTCGCTCCCCACCCTGTCCCACTGGCCCATTTACCTCCGCAGTAGTGCCGTGTAGTCTTAATTACTGTAGCTTGAAAAGTCCTATTAGCTGAGAGAGTGGACCCTCCCCTTGCTAAGAACTGCTGGCTAGTCCTGACTGCATTTTCATACACATTCCAGATCCATCTGTCAAAGTACACAAACTACTACTTATTGGGGTTTTGATTGATATGACACTGAGTTCATAGACAAATTTAGGGATAAAATACTGACGGTTCCAATCTACAAATGAGTGTATGTCCCTATTTATTCAGGTTTCCTGCGTCTCATTGAGTTATTTACTCTCCGGAGGTAGCACACACCTTAATCAGATTTATCCTAGGAGTTTTTTATTTCTGATGCTACTGAAAACAATTTTAAAAATTTTTAAAATTCACTTTGTTTTGTCGTGTTGTTGCATTCAGCATTCTTAAAATAAGACTGATTTTTGTTTGCTCATCTTTGGTCCTGCAGTCTGGCTAAACTCACTTATTGATTTGAATATTCTACAAATGGATCAGACCAGCTAACACCTCCTGTTCAACGCTGATAAAAGTAGCATTCATGTTCCAGTTAAATGTATATCCTGTAGGATCTGGAAGGAATCGGAGGTCAGCTTAAGGACAGTCCCTTGTATTCCTGGTTTGTGCCAATTTCCCTCTTTTTCAAATTAAAAATTTTTTTTTTCATTTTTTCAAGTCAAAAAATTATGAATGGAATTGAATTTTATCAAACCCATTTTATGGATTTGAGATAACTCCCCCCTTTCTGTTGTTAATACAGGACACTGAGTGACTTTGTATTGTTTAACAAATCTCATAATCCTGGGCTATAACAAACTTTGTCATGACAAATTATCCTGGTTTTTTGGTTGATTTGTTTTGGGGAATGGATTTAGTTAGCTGATAATTTGTCTATGATTTTTGCACCTTATGCATCTTCTGAATCTCAGGACTGGGAGTGGCCAATAATTGTCCGTTCTCACACATCCTCTTGGGCTTGCTTGTGCAGCGCATTTCCTAGAATATCTTCTCTGGGTTTTGTTATCCAGGTTGTGTTGGCCTCAAAACAAATCAGAAAGTGTTTCTTCCGCTATGACTCTCTAAGGAGGTTGTGTGAAGTTGGTGGTATTCTCTTCATTAAATGTTTTGTAGGATGTGCTGGTGCACCAATCCTGGCCATTTGTTTTCTTTTTGAGAAGATTTTAAATTACAAGTTCAAATTTAAGAGCTACAGAACTACTGATGTGTCCATTTCAGTAAATTGTATTTTTAAGAGAAATCCTCTCTTGCACCCAGTTTTTCACATTTACTAGCAGAGGGCTGTTGGTAATATATCCTTACATTTCACCATCTATAGCATCTACAGGGATGTCTCCCTTTTCATTCCATGTTGGTTATTTGTTACCTAATATTTTTGTAAGTGTTTTCAAATGGCAACCTTCTGGCTTTATGGATTCTATTAGCTTCATTTCTATTTCCTTAAATTACTGTCTGTTTAAAAAAATTAATTCCCTCTGCACTCTTTAATTTTCCTATTCTTTTTCTACTTCTTGAGATGGATGCTTTCCTTACTGATTTTCAACTCTTCCTTCTAAAATACGCATTTAAGAAGTTGAATCCTGCAAGTTTTCATGTGTAGTGTTTTCTTCATGATTCAAAGTATTTTCTAATTTCCACTGTAACGTCTTCTTACTCCCAAGGGTTGTTCAGGAGTATACGATAACCGCACACATTTCAACCTATCAAGTTATCTTTTTGTTCTACCTTAACTGTATTGTGGTCAGAACATACTTTGTATCATTTTAATCCTTTGAAATTTGTTGCAACTTATTTTACAGTACAGTTTGTAATCCATATTTATAAATGGTCTACTCCTCTTCTGAAAAGAATATGTGTTCTTCAACATCAAAAGCCATGTTCCAAGTACGTCCATTAGGCCATTGGTAGCGCCACCCAAATTTCCTATTTCCTTAGTGATTTTTCACCTCCTCATTCTATCAGTTGCTAAGATGTGTGTGAGAATTCCCCATTTTGACTGTATATTTGTATCTTTCTCTTATAGTGCTTATTTTTGCTTTAAATAATTCATTGGCTTCCATGTGAAATAAACCTTTCCTCATAATGAAACGTCCTTCATTATCCCTAGAATTACTTCTTGCTTTAATGCTTATTTTAATATTGACATAGCCACACCAGATTTTTTTTGGTTAAATGTTTGCAAATTCCATCAACTTTTATCCTTCAAATTGTTGTGTCCTGATGTTTTAACCCCATCTACGGTAAACGTATCCACAAGTTATTTTCTAAGATCCATCCAGCATTTAGTTCAGCTACACTTCATGTGATTATGTAAATACTGACACATCGGCTTCCAAGCCTCCATTCTATCATGTGCTTGCGGCTTGTCCTGCGTTCAGCTGATTTTCCTTATGTTCTTTCTTTATCTCATGTTCTTTTGGATTGAATTTTTTATCACTTTATTCTTGCTCTGTTAGTTAGGAGTTATACATAAATCACACACTCTCTGCCATTTTTATAATGATTGTAACATACACAAAGAGAGCAAGTATTTTCTCCCACTGTTCTGCCTTTTTAACAGCGTCTTTTCTTAAGGAGAGCTTTTAACTGTGCTGAAGCCCAACTCAGCCGTTTCCCCGTTACGGCGCTTTTTATCCCTTCTCTAAAAATCTGTCCTGGATCTGGGTTTTAATAAAGACACTCTCCCACGTTTTGTTGAGAACTTTAGAGCGTTCTGTGTCCTGTACAGGAGTGCAAGCCAGCCCCCACGATCTCTAGCCGTGGCCCGAGCAGACGCGGTCTCAGGCTCACCCGGTAACCTCAGTGTCAGCGGCTAAAAGGAATCTTCTCTCCCCATCGGAATGACAAACACTGATAAGCAATCTTCAGATGGAAGTAGGAAGACTCCACGACTTCGCTTCGAGACTTGCGCAGTGCTACAGGGGCAAAGCCCCTGTGCCGCGGGGCCAAGGGGAGGCCCACCGAGTACGGCGCAGTCCAGAAGCGGGTGCACAGCGCGTCCACTTCTTGTTTTCACGACGTCAAGGAATCTCACAACATTTACTCAGGTCACTTACGAATCCGCAAGCCCCCAGAGCAAGGATGTAGCATCGACTGTTAAACAGAGGTGTTCCCACCACTGTCACGAGTTAACGGCCGGGGAAACGTGTGAAAAATAGTAACGGAGCCGACATAAACCCAAAGTATTTTTTAAGGCTTAGTGCTGTTTAGACGACAACCACCTTTAACCTCCCTAAAAGCACCGAGGATGTCTCTACGATGTACTAAGTACTGCACTGCGCACACGGTCCTGCAGGGCCTACCGAGGGCCGTCCCTCTCACCCGCCCTGTGAGACCGGAGCGCAGCGCCTCTGCTCAGTGCGAACTTACCATCTTCAGTCACACGCTGTGTACTCCGCGCAGGGAGGCATGAATTTGTCCAACATGTTTTGGGAAGGTTCACACTCAAAATCTTTAAAATACGTTTTTAACTTTTAACACTTAGTAGGATAAGAGGAATTTTTAAAATTTACCTGTACAACATATTTCTAGATAATGCCTAAGAAATGGCAGTAAGTGTTTCCAGAAGAAGCATTTAATTCCCAAATCTCCCATCTGGGGAGCTTCCAGCAGATGGGATAAAGGGCAGCCCGGCGCCGAGAGAATGCTGCTTTAACAGGTGTTTCCATCCCAAACATTCCCTGAGTCCTCTGCGGCGCTCCTGGCGCACAGAACGTGAAGCCACATACTGTCGCGCAGGAGTCACCACGACGTCTTTGGTTTGGTTTTACACAACCAGCAGCGATAGGGTTAGTCCTGCAAAGTGTCTGTAATCTCACAGACAAGGCTGATAAATATCACAGATTCATCAGTTTAGTAGAAAAAAAAAATGTTCTATTTTTTCCCCTGGGATGCTGTATAATCCATGCCTTAACAACATGTTTAACTTAGACTTTCCAGCTCCTTCAGCAGCTAAAAATAAGCCAGTTTAAGCTGTCGACACTGAAATATCACAGTATCAGCAAGGCAAGCAAGTTGGCATTTATACTACCCTATGAGATAGCTCAGTAAGCTTAACGATTAAAAGACATTCGTGTCACATGCTTTCATTTACTTCTCTGACTTATCTGACAAGTGAGAAACATCTTAAGCTATTAATGAAGTTTTTATTCCCACCCTGTGAGTAGAACAGAGAAGTGTTACAAGCAAAAAACCAAAATGATATTTTATTGATGATTAACATAGCAACACAAATAATACATTTAGGACACAGAATCCAGAATCGAATGGCTGAAAACAAAAACACCCTGATGTCTGCTGTACAGTCAAAACTGGAAGGATAAAAATTAAAAAGAAAAAAGAAAAAAATTACAAAAGGGATTAATCTGAATTAAAGTATTAAATAAAACTTTACTCGGAAAGGCTTAATAGAGCAGATTAGAGGCACAAAAAATTTATAAGATACACACAGAAAATAAATTAATTTGAAATTAATGTTTATAGGTTGTTGAAAAATAATGTTGAAAGTACCATCCTTTTTGAAAACATTTAAACCGAGACCAATTTACTCACCCAAGCTCTGTCATACCAGCCACAAACTCCTTTTTGCTAAATTCGCACTGTGTCGCTGCCCCGAACCTCCAGGCTATGACCAAAACACTGACACTAGCAGGATCTAGGCTCAGGTCATCACAAAACTGCTGAATCCCGTCAATTCCAATTTTATTTTCATCTTGTGGGTCTACAGTTAAAATCAAGAGAGAAAGAAATTTTGCTGTTTTGAAAAGTAGCACTAACAGGGATGGTTGGAGTCCCAGCCCGACCAAGCACGTCTTGGAGACATCAACCGATGGAACACGATTTTTTACTGTGTGTGGAACGGCAATAAATAGTAATTTACACGGAAAAAAGCCCTATTTTAAACATCGAGGTCACTGGACTTCAGGGGAAGAAAAAATGAGTACTGCAACTTCTTTGAGAAGACTTCATCATTAAAAAAATATTTGATTTCCATAAAGTAAAATAAAAATTCCAGTTTACACAATTCTAGTTTGCCCAAAGGCAAACTCTACCAAAACCACTGCATTGCAGGCGGGGGCTGGCCGAGGCGGGGAACTTGTGACTCTTAGGTCAAGGTCATAAGTTTGAGCCCTACACTGGGTGCAGAGATTACTTAAAAATTTTAAGAAATCTGCAATTTTAAAAAAAATGCTGCATCTGTAAAGTGTTTATAATATTGGAAGTTTTTGCCACAACACTGCCAAAACAAGAAACTGATGTTTTTCTTTTTAAAGTGGGATTTCATTTGCTATAATTTTAGTGCTACTGTACATTTAGGTTGCAAAATCATTTAGTTCATGCATCCACATTTAATAGCTTAGAAACTCAGGACTTCCTCACTTCCCATTTCTGGTAGAAATGAAATTAAGGAATTTAGCATTTCTTTATCAGAAAATCAAATAGTAAAATCTCTTAGAAAAATCTCAGTGAGACCTCGCCAAACTAGGACTAGTAATTTCCAACAGAATGCGTATATATTAATACATCATCATGGCTCAAGTGTTAATTTTGTTGGCTATTGGGAAGGTACCAATAGAAAATTTGTAGCTTCTTTGCTCAAATGAAGATTAAATGTGATACACTTTTCTTCCATCATACAAAATTTAACTGTGGTCACTTAAGTACTATATGCTACATTTTTATAAACATGTCGTCACCAAAATAAAATAAAATAAAATAAAATAAAATAAAATAAAATAAAATAAAATGTATGCTGTAATTTAAACAAACGAGAGCACAGGCTTCCTGCAGCCTGTTGCCCGTATAAGGAGAGAACTGCTGTCCTGCGGCCTCTGCTCTCACCCTTCCTATTGCCCAGAGCTCCCACAGTCCCAGATGCCCTAAAGGGCACACCTGCCCTCAGTGCCGGCTCATAAATCTCAGGTGCGCTGGGAACAAGATTTTAAACGAACTGCAACTGCGGAAGTGCTCGCTCATTTGCATACATTAACATAACAACCGACTCATCTTCTCCAATCTTTGAACAACAGATTTATTTCTAGACCCCAAGATGACTGCATAATGTGTCTACTTTAAATGACAAGAAGTGCATGAATAAAACTAAATGATAAAAAGATGCTGCTTAAACTACAGAAGTAGCTCTAAGTATTTTTAAAGACACATTTGAATCATTTCAGGAATCCGCATAGCACGTGATTCACAAAATTAGCTCCACAATTAACTTAGCCAAAAACACTTAAACCACATTAAAGCTTATTAAAAACCATGATTTTTCATTTTGAAAACCAATGTTCATTTTTCAAACAAATCTGGTCTTTCTACCAGAGTATGTTTTTGTGCCAAGGATTAAAAAAAAAAAAAAAAAAAAAAAGGTGGGTTACAGCCTCTGCCTTAGGCTCAGGTCATGATCCCGGGGTCCTGGGAGCCAGACGGCATCGCATCAGGCTCTCTGCTCAGCGGGGAGCCTGCTTCCTCCTCTCCCTCTGCCTGCCTCTCTGCCTACTTGCGATCTCTGTCTGTCAAATGAATAAATAAAATCTTTATAAATAAATAAATAAATAAATAAGAAAAGAATACATAAATAAGAATTTAAAGCCCAGGAGTTATTCTGTTTGGGTTAATACTTGTTTAAATGAGGTTTTTTTTGTCTTTAAATTCTGGAAATAGAAGGTTAACCTCAGAAACTTGTAGAAAGAAAAAACAGATAAACCCTGGCTAGTTGTTGCCATGGACTCCAGCGCCGACCGGCGCGTGAGATGCCACCTGACGGCCCACCGGGGGCTCCGACGCGTGCAGACTCGTTGCAGAGACTGACTCCGGCAGCACGGTCGTGTTCTGACAGGGAAAGCTCCACTCTAAGTGCCGATTTCAAAGAAACAGCACCGGTCCCCAATGCACAGCGCAAACGTTTCCTTGCTAAGAGCTTTCCCCCTGCGGTTCCTCAACAGTGCAGGGGCTCCGGGCCCACGGTGCGGCTGCACGGTGTGAGCAGAAAGGTGACTTCTACCCTGGGGCCAGAGTTACTTCTTCACCTGCCTCCTCCCCAGAACCCTCCAGCTCACACAGCAGTGTGCCCGGGACAGCATCCCGCAGCGCACCACGGACCCTGCCCAGGACGGGCTCACCACCGCTGCGCCGGCAGACCCTGTCCCATCACCCCAGCCCAGCCGCTCTCAGTTCCCTTCCAACAGGCTGGATGTTGCAGCTGAGTCCCAGAAAGAGGAGGAAGAACCTTCTGGAGGTCTTGTGAACTCGGCACAAGAAGCCAGAATACACCTTCCATTTTCTGGAGCTGGAAGTGAGCGGCCAGCCGTCTTCCCCCTGCTCCCAGCCTGTGCTTACCTTTGTACCTGTCATACAGCTGCTCCAGCTTCTTCCTGTCCACCCCGCTTCTCATGGGTGCCTGGAGGCAAGAGTCTGGGTTCGGCAAGAAGTCGTCTGCGGCCACGTCTACTTTCCGCTCATGCTGCGCTATGTGGCAGGCCACGGGGAGGAAATGCCATAAACCCAGGCCCCTGCTCTTCCAAGATGACCTCTGTGTACACAGCAGGAAAGCCAACACCACTGGACCAGAGCTTCAGCGTCCCATGACTGCTGCTGGTGCTCTAGCTGGACTTGGCTGTTTCCCCCGCGTCAGCCTCGCCGCAGAACTCCAGGACGACACGTCTCGCTCTTCATCAGTCGGGAAGACTGCACGGTCTTCTGAAGACTGAAATGACAGCCACGGAAGAATAAATACGCCAAGTGTGACCTTCAAAAAATTATGAGGTTCAGTGTTTTATCACAAAATACACTTTGATCTCTACCCTTCATTTTGCATAAAACACGACATTATTTTTTCCCTAAGTCTCAGGAAAATCCCTCTTTACACAGGAGCCCGGGGACGCAGTGAGGGTGGGTGTCGGACCGGAGGCCTGGCCCCTCACCAAAGCCCACTGTAGGGTCCTCTTCAGCGTCGGTTGATTCCAGGCTCTGCTGAGCAGAAGGGCTGCATGGTGTGAGAACATCAATGTTTCGGGTTTTCCCGGTTTAAGATCAGCGGAGCCACAGTGATGAGAATATACACAGGTAAATGATGACGTGGTGGGCACCGATCACCACAGTCCCTGAGCGGCCACAAAAAGCCCGTTAGGACTAAATGTGATCATACGAATAACAGAAACATCTGTGTACGTGAGACAGAAATAAATGGAAAAATAGGGCAGAGGCTGTGGGAGGTCGTAAACAAGGGAACTGCCAAGTCTCTGTACTATATATAGTCCATAAGGAAGGAAAACGGCGCCCAGACTTCCAGATACAGGCCAGCCAGGTCTGGGCTTATCTCAGGTGACCTGGTGAGAAGGACATCAGCAATGCAAGTGACTCACCAGCCTCGTGCATCAACAGACGTCAATGCACCAGATGCCGGTGCTCTGAAAACACTCCACAGACCATACAGGAGGGAGAGTTTCACTTGAAAGGATTTACAGTTGTTATGCCCCCCCAAAAATGGGTCCGTGATTAAAGGAGCGAGACTAATATAAAGCGAAGGTCAAGCAAAGCTTTATTTTGCGCCAAGCATCAAGAATCTAACGGAATGGGGTGCCCGGGTGGCTCAGCTGGTGAAGCCTCTGCCTTCGGCTCAGGTCATGGTCTCAGGGTCCTGGGATCGAGCCCCGCATCGGGCTCTCTGCTCAGCGGGGAGCCTGCTTCCTCCTCTCTCTCTGCCTGCCTTTCTGCTTGTGATCTCTATCAAATAAAAAAAAAAAAAAAAAAAAAGAATCTAACAGAACGTTCGGGGCGCACCTCTTACAAGAGAGGGCGACCTCTCTCCCTTTCACAGACTAGCTTTCAAGGGCAAAGGCCATGCATTTGGGCCTGGCCACGCACAGGTGACCAATGACGCTGTAACACGCAGAGAAAGCTGCACAGTCATGCTCGGTGACCAATTGAATTACAATTTACCCTAGTAGACATTTGACCCAGCCTATCACCTTGGTCAGAACTGGCGCCCAAAAGGTGCCCAAAGGGCGGGGCCCATACTCCTTGGTAGCTAGGGAGACAGTATGCGCCCCCACTGATCGGCTGTCTCCACCTGGCCTGACCCACCCTTGTATTTGAGCTTTGTTACCTGGGGCTGGTTTCCCGGACTTGTTTTTAAGTGCCCTGGGGGAAGCGGAGCAGGGACAGTTTAAGGGTTAAACAACAAGGTTATTGTTTAACCTTAATGGAAGCCTCTTGCTCAATAGGTCCTTACAACAGTCACTCCTGTTCAGCAAAGGACCGGATGGTTTGCAAAGCCACACAATGCAGGCCGGCTTGCAGGCCGGCTCACAGCACTCTGCTGTGGATGACACACGAGCGGAGACCGACGAGGTAAAGGGCAGGAAAGTCAGGGTGAGACTCAGACACACAGCACATCCGAGAGCTGAGTGCAGGCTAACCCTTTGGCTCTGAGCTTCCCAGTTGCCAAACCAAAGATGAAGACAGGATTCTGTTTTCCTAAGATTTAGAAACCTACCAGTGGCCCAGAGGTGATCCAGCTCTTCCTGGCACTGAAACCCGAAGGAGTGGCCCCTGTGGTCACTCCTGGGTGACTGCCCTGTGCCCCTCCTGCCCTTTGCAGCAGAACAGCCCCTCTGCCAGGCCAACCCCACAATGGCACGAGCTTCCAAAGCCTCTGCTGACAGGACCCCTTGCTTCGAGCAGAGGACCGTTCAGCAGGAGACCACCACGCAGCTGCCCAGGTCCAGTCTGGGCATCGAGGGGTTTCCACCAAGACAAAACTCCCTTCACAACAAGCCCAAGCCATTATCTGCCTTTCTCACGCTCATTGGAACACAGTGGAGGCTATGTGTGACGTGTGATCTTTGCAAAAATGTAACGCAAATATGTAATGGCTGATTATTGTTATTTTTAAATATACAAATGTTTTTAAACTTTACATTTTAACATCTAAAACAGTAAATCCCAATGGCTACAACTCACATAAACAAAAACTCTTTGGGCTCCAGCAATTTTTTAAAGTGCCCAGAGGACCCGGTTCTAGCAGGTCTCAGAAGCGCCAAGGAGGCAGAACATGGGGCCGCCTGGAGCACGGGCTGTTGGGTCACCTGGGGTCTTGGGTCCCTTCTGGGAACTAGAGAAAATCTCAGATCCTCTCTCCAGCAAAACATGTGGTTTTGCATAAAACTTGGGGTTTTTCACAGATCACTGAAGCCTATCGACTGGTTTTTCGGAGGGGAAGGGAGGTGAAACTTAAGTTAGAAGGCCCAGTAAGGCAGATGAAGGGGCCTCGTCTCTGTTGCAGCTACCCAGTTCCGCAATGCGCAAACGACCGGTGAGCAGTGTACCAAAAAAACTTTATTTACATACACGGGCAATGAGCCTGTGGGATATACTTTCGAACCCTAATTTAGACTCTAGGGAAATATATAGAATATATATTCTGTATGTTATCTCCTGAAATTGAGCCACTGAAAAGAACTAGACAAAGAGCTTGAAGTTGTATTTTCTGGTAAAATCGCATTTAGCTAAATTAGGACAGATCTCATATGCTTTGACAGTAAGCTGACAAAAGGGAGAGCAGCATCTTTGCTGAAGGCGATGGCCTCCCTGATGGGGGGTGGGTAAAGCCCAGTGTCCCTCAGAAACTAGAGTGGAGAGAGATGTCCGACACCCAGCCAGGGCATCACTTAGCAGTGCTCGTAGCATCTGTATTAGGCAAATCGCCATCTGCGCTAGATTTTAAAATTCTATCATGGTTGTAAACTAAAATTTGGTGCACATAAACAATGAATCTCGGCCATAAAGAGGACAAGATACTGAAAAACGCTAGATGTGGACGAAGTTTGAAGACATTACACCAAGTGAAAGAAGTCAGACTCGGAAGGCCAGATGTCGTGTCCATTACAGGAACTACCCAGACAGGCCAGTCTACAGACAGAAGCAGTGCAGTGGCTGTCTGGGGCCTGGTGGGGAATGCGGAGTGGGGAGTGACCCCTCAATGAGTGGGGTTTCCTTGAGGGTCGTGAAGTGGTCTGGAGCTCAGCAGAGGTGGCGGTAGCACAGTACCGTGGGTGAACTCCAGACCACTGGATCACACACTTGAAAATACCTGATTTTATGTTATGCGGATTCTGCTTCCAAATAAAGTTCAGCGTGGCGGTCTTAGAACCTCCAGGACCAATCAACAGTCTGGCACGCGGTTAGGTAGGCGGCCTGCTGCACCAGCGTCACGCAGCCGACGGAGCTGCACCCAGTAAATGCTGGCAGACACCTGAAAGATCTCGTGTCCGGTCTTGAGGGACTTCTGATCAACACCTCTTGGAACTCCTAACACACGACCAAACGGTTATATCAACAGCGTAAAGAACAACACACTCTGGAAACTCTAGAAAAAGAGGCACAGGACTGCGCGGACCCAGCCCGGCCAAGTGGCTCGAATCGTTACTGTGTAAGTTACCAAGTTGGTAGCCAGGCGGAGACCCAGACAAGCCCGTCCTTCTCCGTCCATCCCAGGCGCCTCGCGGGGCACAGGGCGTTGGCTCCGCGTGAGTAGCAGCCACCATGGGTCTAAGCTCAGCCCGGAACAAGTCTGCTGCCAGAATGAGCAGGAACGGGATTCTCAATGCAGGGACAGCAGCGCGAGTTACGCCTCCCAGGTTTCCCCAGAAAGTAGCAGCGACTAAAACCGTGATCGCCAGCTAAGAACAGAGACCGCGGGTGCTTCACACGTCACAGTTGGTAGAAAAAGGAACTGGCATAAAGCTTTCTAGAAAGAAATGTCTCATAAGCTAGAAAAATGACAAGGGCTAGAACAGCCCTGGACGGGCTGAATCCACGTAAAAGTAACGAAGGCCCGTGTGGGCGGGACCAGGGCCTGCCCCTCCAGCTCAGAGCCCTCTCCGGAGGGCATCAAGGAACGTCAGCAGCTTCTCGGGGTGGTGGTGGTGGTGTTCAATTGTTTCACTTTGTTAAAGTACACAAAATTCTTGAACGAAAATAGGGACAACTCAATAAAGATGTTTTAAAAATCTCTAAGCTATAGTAAAAACTAAAACATTTCTATATAAACCAAGATTGCCCAGACACAAAATGGAAAAAAAAAAAAAAAGGGGTTTTTTGTTTTTTTCTTTTAAAGGTTTTTATTTGACCAGAGAGAGCGGCAGCACAGGCAGAGCGAGAAGCGGGCTCTCCACGGAGCAGGGAGGCTGATGCGGGATCGATCCCAGGACCCCGAGATCATGACCACAGCCGAAGGCAGACGCTTCACCGACAGAGCCCCCGGCGCTCACGACAGAACGTCCCCTTGGGGCTGCGGGGCAGCCACCCCGCTGCAGCCCGCGACGCCGACTTGTCACTACGCGCGGGCAGCCGGCGGGGGCGGAGTCGGTCCGCGTCCCGCGACTCGCTCCCGGGTCTTCACCGCCGGCGCGGGCGGCTCCGTCCTCTTCGGCGCGTCGCGCTCCTGCCGCCCCCGGGCCGTCCCGAGCCTCCCGCCGGGTTCCCAAGCCCCGCATCCCCAGTCCCGTTTCTCCGGCCCGCCCTGACCCATCTCCTTCCCTCGCCCTCACGCCTTCACCCTCCCTGCACCTCCATCCCGGCCGCGGCCGCCGCTCGGAAACCCCCGCCGGCCGCGCGA